GGGAAAACGGAGCTTTGGAGACATGGACAAGGAGATTCTAGGGAGACCGGATAGGAAGTATAGAGATACTAACGTCCTTCAGCCTGGAGAACCAACCATCACAGTATTCCTTGGCTGAATTCTTTGCTCCATGCAGTTCCACGCGATAGAAATCCAACAGGGGAGCTTTACAGACTCAGCGGGTGGACCTGTTGGAGCCCAGAGGCTTGCAGAGCACTGGGAGGCCTGTGATGCTGCGTGTAAGCGGGAAACTGCATGACTGTGATGTAGTGGACTTATAGTCAGCATCTGAGAGAAGCTTTAGCAATGTCCCACTGTGACATGAACCCCCTTGTTCTGCTGCTCTCCTTTAACGAAATCAAACCAAGTCTTTTCACCTACATAGTCTCACCCGCCTCCATTCCACCAAGGGATATTTATTCTATGTGTGTGTGTGTTGAGTGGTCATTAGTCTCTGTTTACAGGAGAGAAATCCTGGCCAGCTGGCATGTGACGCGTGATGTGCCGCATTGTGGTCTACCACTGTGAGACCCCCGTGGCAGAGTCGTGGAGGCTCGGCAACCCCCTTCCCCAGGCGGGCCGCGGAGACCGCAGCGAGCCCTCGGCAGATGGAGCCTCCAGCGTTTCTCGTCTCTCATCCACAAGCAGCGAAGAGGTGGAGCAAACGCTGGAGGTGGGACTGGCCCTGGCCCCCATCCCAGATGCCAGGAGAAGGCCGAGACTCTGACGAAGCCCTGCTGGGAGGGTGCTGGGCCGGAACAGGTGCAGCCTCAGCCCCCTCTATCCCCCCTCTGTCAGCACCTCAGTGGTGGAGCCCGCACTCGTTTCCTGTCCTCACTCCTTCTCATTCACACACTCGAAAGGTGTTGTAGGACTACATCCAGCCCCTCCCTCCACCCTGCAACAAATCCAGACACCGAAAAAAAAAAATCATAACCAGACAGTTCAGCAATAAGACGACTTAAAATCTTGTCACCTTCTGTCTTCTCTTTCAGAGGAACTAAATTACAAAGTACCAAGTTCACAGGATAGCTGACCCTCAGGGGGCAGACTGCAGAGTCGTGTTGACTCAGGAGTTTTTCCTCTCCTGGCTATGATCAACTCTTCAGCTGACCTCGCCGGGGGGCCAACGCAACCGCTTTCCCATCAGCCACTGCTTTATCCACAGCAGCTACAAGACAAAGAGGTTCTGCTTTGTACCTTCTGTAGCCGGCATCCTGCATGATAGGAAGAGTTTATGACTGGGGAGGCTGGGAAAGGGAGGGCGGATGAGGAGGCCCAACAGCCCACCTTGACCTGTCCCTGCTCAAAGAACCTCGGTGAACTTACTCCCATCGCCCCTAGCCCCCCTTCCCCACCTCCACAATGACCTGGCCACTCCAACCATCCCTGAGTTATTATCATAATTCCCCGGAAAGGCACTGTAAGGCATCTGTGTTTTACAGAATGTTTTGTGTTTTATTGCCTTTAAGTCACTCGTAGGCCAGCAGAGAGGGCCCACAATGATAAGAAAACCAGTCATGTGAAAAATGAAGGACCTTGCCTACAGGTCTGAGAGGTGAGGAAGGGAAATAATAAAATACATGACAAATGTGGAGCCTGACTGTATTTCATGTTCAAACCCTTGTCCTGTCCTGCCTTTTCCAACCCGCAGCGGTTCTAAAACATATGAGGGGTAATAAGAAGGAAATAATAATAATAATAATAATAAATGAATTCAGCCGATCTCTTTGTTACGAAGAGAACAGAAGCTCAGTTTCGTTGTTTTTGCTTGGTTTAAAAAAGAAAAAGAAAAAAAAGAAAAGAGACCATCCTAGCCTTCTCACTCCCCCTCCCAGGTCTTTTGACAACACCATGGCAGCAAGATACCCAGGGGCATTCCAAGCTGCCACCATCCCAGCCATTTCATGTCCGAGCCCACCTGGGGTAAACAAAAAAAAAAGAAAGAAAAGAAATTGGGACTTCGAACGATAGAACATTAAGTAAAGAGTAAAAAAAAAAAAGTTCAGCCGTCAAACTTTAGGTCTTAAAAAATACCACTTTCATTGTCTCTTCTGTGAAGTAATTCCCCCTCCCCTCCTCTCCCCCCAAACACACACACACACACATGAACCCCCCCCCCCGCAGGCTTTTAAAGGTGCAGTATAACTAATGAAAAATAAAACATCTGTTTAATCTGGCCATTTCAAAGGCAAATCCCCCTTTTGATCAAAAAATGATATTGATCTGACTGCCTTAGTGGTGTGTTGAGGATCTCTCCTTTAAACTTGAAATATCATGGAGTCTTTGTTGCGAATCAATACCGAGGTTGCTTTTTGAGGTTTGATTCAAAGGGCACGAGCTCCATTTGAATATGCTTGCATTTGCATGTATTATTTCTGGCTTCAGAATTCAAATTGACCTTGCATATATTTTTTTTTGCTTTGTTATAAATTAATGAGTAAAACATGGCTTAAAAGCGGGGCATATCTTTCTGTTCTTGCTTTTTTTCCCCTTTTAAACTGATAATCGTCCTCTTGTGGCTGGTTCGCGGCACCTGACTGATGCAGAGCTGGGCAGGTCACTGATAGGGAACCTGTTACAGGCACGCGGCCCCTGGTGGAATGAACCGGACCTAATATCGCTCTGAGCTCTAGCGTGTCTGTCCTCACCCCTCACTCTGTGTCTGAGGGGCCCCGGCATCGGGCTGAAGCTATCTCTACATCTCCCCATTTTCTTTAATTACACCTCAGCATATTGGATTTGAACCATATGGAAGGGAGATATTGAGAACAGATAAGATGTATAAACTCCTGTCAGCACCTTAGCATATTAGGTAGAGCTGGAAGGATATTATCTCTAGTCTATCCTTCCAATTAGTGCCCAATATCAAAATACATCAAGACAAGCCAGTCAACAGGGGCGGAGGGAAAAAACATTACATAAACGGACCTTTCTACTTTTTCTTCTTCTTTTAAAATACTGTTAAGCTTTTATTACTTCCTCTCATGTGTTTTCTTTGCCACAAAATGAAAAGTCGCTTCCAACGAGGGACCCAATAAAGACAAAGATAAATAGCCTACTTAAACCCAAAATAATTCACTGTGCTCAGCTGGGCCGTGCTTGCCTTAAGGTTTCACAAACAATGCTGCTTTATAAATAAAGTTTAAAATGAGAAAACTTCTTCTTTTACCCCATAAATTCTGGAAACCCTTTCCTCCAAAGTGTTTCCCATCAAATCAAAAATCATTACTGAGGCATTTCCAGTGAAATATCGGATTACGGAAGCACACGTCGGAGCAGTGTGGATGTTTTTTTGCAGCGGTAATGGCTCCATTATTTTAATAGAAAAATGTCAAGGGAAAAACAAATTGCACCCTAAACCCATGTGAGGCCTGTATCATCTGATCTGATATACACATAATCAACATGGCCTCAGACTCGGCTCACCTCCCGGCGACACCGTTTTCATCCAAAAGCCACCACAAAGCTCTTAAAGAACACAATTGTCTTCCTCGCTGGAAATGATGCGTGCATTGCGCTTGTTTTGATGTGATTGAATCCACTGCACCCAGACAGTGAGAGGTCATCCTTAGCCTCGCTGCAGCATCAGGATATATACAGTATACACAGAGAGAGACATGGGGAGAATAAAGTAAGAGAGCAGCAGGATGAGGCAGTAGAGAGAGGTCACTTTGAGAAGCTGGATGCAAGCACATGCCAAACAGCAACTCTCTCTCTCCCTCTAATCCCCTCTCTGATCCACCGACGCCTGGGCCAATCATTTGAGGACGACCGCAACCCGTGATCACTGGGCCCTAATCTGAGTCCTCGGCCCGTCCGCGGTCCACCTCAGACAGCACCGGCTGGCTGCCAGCAGAGGAGTGGCAGGCTTAGCCTTCTCCAGAGAGACAGCTAGAGGTTGTCTCTACATGGATGGGCACTTCGCAGCTCGGCAGGGGCGGGAGGAAGGGGCAACGTAGCAGCTGCTCAGGGCATATGGGCAGAATTCATTAAGTCTGGCTAAATAAGCCAATTGTGGAGGCGGTAAAAAAGTGTGCATTTGTATATCTGATAGACAAAAAAGAGAGAGAGAGAAAGCACTCACAGAATTTGAGGGCCCCACTTAAAAATTCTGCCACACACAAATATTCTGAGCACAAATATCCCGCGTGATAGCCTCGTCCTGAGGTATTACTCCTGATGAAGTTGATTCAAGGCCCACCAAATGAAAAAGAATCTGGATCTATTTGTGATGGGCAGTGATTGAGCTGTTGGATGCGTAGATTGTGTGCCCTTGAGGACTTTTCTGTGCATCTCCAAATGTCACGAGACCGCTCTCTGCCTCAGAAATAAACCTAATCACAATCTGTAAATGTTACAGCCGTTTCCCTAATAGACCTGGCCTGACTTTGGAGGTCTGCATTTATATTCGCACACATGAACCAAAGGCAAAACTGAATGCTGATACACATGATCGCCACATGTTGAAGCCGCACGTTACGCCAACTGTGATCCCATTAGAACACAATGCCATTTTAAATTCAGACATGGAGACATCTCCTTTCCATTGTCCTGGCCTTCTGGCTTTAAAGAAAACACACCTCACACTAGCAGCTGCCTTGTTCCTATCTCACATCTATTCCTCTTTATCCAGTAAAAAAGTATAATGTATGCTAATCCCCCAGGTGTCAATAGGAACTCTGTTCAATACATTTGAGATAATAGTGAAGAAGGGGTTGCTCCTATCGAAGAGCTGGAAGATAAAGTCAATGGCACAGTCAATAACAATAAGGTTGTAGGCTTTAATGAGGAATGTTAATTTGAACACAATCAAGTGGATTTCAGCTTAGCTGATTATCAACCTTGGACTTGTATGAAGGTGTTGATAATGCTGTTAGTAGAGTGGGGGAATTTTTATCTGTACCTGCTATTTTCACTTTGCCTTTTGGCTGTTTGAGTTAAAACTAACAAACTAAAAAAGTGAGCGAGTGAACTTAAAAAAAAAAAAAAAGACAGGGTAAGGTAACACTGTACTGCTCCATGCACAGACAACTTTATTTATTTATAAAATTTACCAAATGCTGTACACACACTTTAAACAAAATAACAGTAATTGAAGTTTGTAAGCTGATAGCCCTTCTGTGTAGTGGGATGTTCACTCCTACTAGAGCGACTTCATGTCTCAGTTCAAGCGTCCTCCTCGCGTTGCAGGCTACACAGCCAGCTCCTCACTCTCTCCTTGATCCCATTCCATCAGCAGCTCCGAGGACACCTCTGTAAACAGATGATCCCATTCCCAGCTCACATCATCCTGCAGAGCAAAAGAAAGACAGAAGAAAAGAAGAATTAGAGAGGCAGAGCGAGACATACCAAGAAAGTGAGTACGGGGAATAGAGAGAGGTGGGGGGAGCAGAGGGTGTTAATGTACACATCATAAATCTTGATTACCTGAGAGACAGACAGCAACCTCCCCTGGTGCTCAAGAAACAGCTGGACAGGCCTTTCGTTGGGAGCTCGCAAGCTATATTTACTAAAAATTCACTCACCTCCCTCACCTCCTGCTCGGGTGCTAAAACCTTGGTGAGTAGCTTCAAGTCGATCTCTCCATCCTGAGGAAATAGTGCAGTAAAATTCACTTAGCTTGCACAAACAGAGGTGATGAGAGTTGCCACCTTGAAGAGAAGGCGCAGGAGAACATTGAAGGTATTTTTAAAAAAAATAAGGTGTCCTTGACTCACTAAGGTTTGGAATGCAGAGTAATTCTTCAGATCATTGTCCAGATCTCTGTAGGTCATTACTCGGTTCACCTGAACACTAACAGAGTGACAGGAAGTCAGGTTTCTGACACACTTATAGTGTAAACAAACTTGCATTTTGGTGAAAACAGCATGTCACAAAGAAAATCCTGCTTTCAGAATACACGCAAAGCAAGACTGCAAAGTGGCTTAGATGAGCTTGAAGTTTTCACACACTTAAGCTCTAAGATTTCAAGCAAAGGCCAGAGAGAGCAGGAGATGGTTGCCAAGTGTTAAACACTTTAAATTGAAACCCAGCTGCTTATCTGTGGGTTGGAATTAAGTGGGGGGGCTCTCAAAGTGGCCGGGGCCTAGCAGTGCATGCCAGTCCTACTTACTGCACATTACACGCTACATTGCCCTCGCAATGAGTTCAATGTGGATATTATCTCGCACAGAGAGCAAGCCCCAGCCTAATAACCTCCACCGCTGTCATAGCCTTGCAACATATTCGACACATGTCGACGTGTCTCTCACTGCCCTGTAAATCAAAGGGCCCGGTTAGTAAGGACCCTGGCAAGAGAGTTGCATAAATCACACCCAACTGTTATTTCTCCATTTCAGCCTGATATAGCAAAGGCACTCTGCAACAGCATCAATGGAGGACAGTTAACATGAAAGACACTAGAATAGTCTGCTGAGCCACTGCTCTGTGCATGGACAGAGGTTTAAGATCATAGAGTTGGGGCTCTGTAAGTCACACTCTGTGTGTGTGTGTGTGTGTGTGTGTGTGTGTCCAAAGTGATTAAGTGGCTTGAAAGTGTTTACAGTTTAAGGAATTAACTACCATGGTGGAGCTGCAATTTGCATGGTGAGATCTTCTTCTTGCACTTCATCCAGATCAGGAATCGTTGGGATGTCTAAATACACAATAAAAAAAAGCAGAGTCCATCTGATACATTTGTAGAAGTGGCACATTTAAGAACATCAAATAATCATCAAACGACCATTTAGTATTCTTACCAATACAAACACATTGTTTAAATTACTGTAAATTCCCTGTGGACGGCTGCTAGAAGGTTACGTGCCTGTAAGCGGCACTTCCTCCCCTCCCTCTTGTGTGCTACATCCACATAAGAGCTGCCCTGTCACAATAGCCATGCGGCCATGAATATTCAGAAGGCAAGGCGGCAGCTCATCCTGCTGTGAGAGGGGTGCTGGTCAGGGGCTCCCCAGAAAGCACCCCCTGCTACCTTAGCATTTGGGCCCTGTCAGTGCCGCCCACCCCCAGGACCTGCGGTGGCCGGTAGGCCGACCTCCATGTCCACTCTGCCACTCCGACTGGAGCGGTATCCAGCCATGTGCACGAGTATTTGCTTGCGGGCCCATCTGTGTGGGGTCGGAAGTCACAGTGCGGCCTGGCAGGGGCTGCGGTGCCAGGAGCCGCCAGCCCGCTGCTCAAACAGTGGGAACCCGCTTTAATTGGCAAAACGCAACAGGACAGAGAATGGCTTCACTCCCAAGAAGGAGAGGGCAAACTTTCACAGCATTTTTCAGATGGACATATCAAGGCAGGGAAATAAGAGAGGGATGGAGAGTAGTCTGGATAGCTGGACATAAGCAGTAAAGAGACAGAAAAGTCTCTCCAACTATTTTATAGTGAGTAAGTTGCCGCTTGTTGACAGAAAGGTGCCTGTACAGATAACAAACAATATATATTTCAAAAAAAAAAAGTACAGTAGAGGCTTTACAGGTGTGATGTGTCTTTCCTGAAAAGTATTTTTCTGGTGTGGCAGCAAAGTGCACATCCTTATTAGCGCTAGAGCAGAGTGTGGACAGTGACAGAGAAAGAAAGTGGGGGAGTGGAAGCGAGGGAAAAGAGACCTGACAGATAGCGAGAGAAAAAGAGAGAGCTGGACTGCATGAAGAGGGTTGTCAGTAATCTCTAACCACAGTACTGCACCCTGAGGGGAAAGTCAATAGAGGAGCTAAATAGAGGTGAGGAGATGGAAGTCTGCATCTGATGTGAGGAAATATCTTGGCATCTATGTCACCCTTCCTTCAAAATAGCCCTTAAAAAAAAAAAGAATTCAAGCAAACATAAATTTAGATGTAAGAAGGAGAAAAATATTTTGATTCTGAACATTCTGAGATGGATAAATCCTAAAAAAAAAAGAGTAGACCGGTCAAAACCTTACCCCCCAAGTTTTGCTGAAGCCCAAAAGCCTCACACTCTGCCGATAACTTATTTCTTTCTCTTTTTTTAATTAAACCAAATTAAAAATGCCATGCTCGTTTAGCCGCTGACAAGATTCATCTGTGTTTCTGATATCCAAATAAATGCGGGCGCAGGTATTTCATATTCATGAGGCCCCGGTGACACTTTGTCCTCTCATTTACAAAGCACAGCGTTCAGCAGAATCCGTCCCCCCTGGACCCCCAATCAAATTTAATGGTCTTAGTGCAATGACATCAAAAAGCTTTGCCATCCAGCTCTGCAAACAGCTTCCTGGGTTGTCTATCTGTCCACACACACACTCTCTTTCTTTCCATTTCAGCGAGTAACGCACTAATAACACACTCCGTGAGAGTTCGACGAGAAGCACGGAAGCATATGCTGTCTATGTGCAAACTCTATTATTAAGAGGAAAAAAAAGGAACAACATTTTTTAAAACGAGCTTCAAATCCAACCTATTACTAGAGGTCAAGTGGCCCATAAAAGCAGCTGCAAACAAGCCAATGTTTTCTTCCAACGCAAAGGGCAACTCCATCAGGACGAGCATATTTCCCTCAGCATGGCACGCATTATCCATGCTGGCTTCCTTCACTCAGCTGGACATGTATCAAGGTGGCGTTTGTCTGGAAGCGAGAGGCCACGCGTATTCTTATTACACGGCCGCGTCCGGCTTCCTCGCTGAAGCATGTAAATATCAAAAGGGGATAATTTGCTGTGAATGTAGACATACTCCCGGCAGCACATGCCAGTCAGCGACTCTGGCAAACGGGCCGTGTCCTCGCCTTACTTCGGACCCCTATAATCTACGCAGGGGTCCAGTCGAATGATTACCTAGCCAGAGAATCCATTTGAAAGGCTTACGGGACAGCAACAGTCAACACGTCACAGTTTAAGTGGGAGACGGTGAGACATGAAATAGATGAGTGTCTTTGCGACACTGGTGCTATTTTATGTGACCAGCAGGAGGCTGTGGGGGCAGCTGATAGGGAGAAGGGAGCAGGGGACTGGGGCTAGCCTGGCCTTCTCTCCCTCTGTCTCTCTCTGTGCTTGTAGCCAGTGGACATAAGGGATAAGGGTAGGGGACATAATCAAGATCGGAGGGGCTATCTCACTAACCCTCAGCACTGTAATTTCCAATACCCCTGCCTCCAGCTCTGTATTAAGAGGTCTCCCTTCACAGAGTAATAATCTTTCCAGCGGCATTAACTGCAAGAGAACCAAACCTCTGGACCCTTCAATCAACTGTCCATTTTAGCCAGTGTGCCGACAATATCGAGTACGATCGTGTGTGTATAAATACAATATAGAAGTACATTAATTACATGTATATAAAAAACAGTTTCTGAAATTGAAATTCAATAGTTATTATTGCCCTGTAACATCATTTGTATTTTGGAATAGATTTCTACTTTTTAAATTAAGCAAAAAAAACACATCAGAAAAATACAACTGAGTGGAATTACCAATAATAAATAATACAGTTTAAAATCTCTGCATGTCATTGTGACAACATTGATACTCTTTAAACTCAGCAGATTCATGAACAAAGAATTAAACAAGAATTCTCGCCATCTTCTCAAAAGTCACTCTACAGCGTACTAGGTATTTTTTTCATCTTCTTCTTATTAATCGTAGTAGTATTCTTATTTTATTTCCTAATAAAATGACAATATGGCCGTTTTAACAGAAAAGGTTTTCAATTTGTTCATAAACATGTGCACGTCTCTCAGCATGCATGCCAACTAATATTAACTTAGCCTATTTAACCCTGTTCCCATTACTGCTTTGCACTGCAAAATGTTGCATTTATCTTCAGCAGCACCTTGCTGAAAATTCCTCCCTCAGTCCAAACATTGTTTGTGGTGCACACTATTGAGCCCTCGGGTCACTTAGTCAATGCAGCAGTGTTACCACTGGATCTGTATTCAACAGCACCAGTCTGACACTTTGTGTCCATGTGTGTGCATTTTGTGATTAACTGTGTTGTTCTGGCTGATGGCTGGACAACCTCAACTCTCCATCAAATGAGCATATTCCCTCATCACGTTGATCAAAAGGACCGCGCTCATACTTTCAGTGGTCAAAGTCAGCGTTCTAACACACAAATCCACGCTATATTCAGGGAGAAATATGGTTTGAGCACCAGTGAAAAGCAATGATCTGACCGCCTGCTTATCTGCTCTACTTTCTGAGGATGAATGTGCCGGTGAGGCACTGGAGGGCTCCTCTTTGCCCGTAAGGAGACACAGAGAGTGGGGATTGCAAGGGTGCTCTTACCTCCTTCATCATCTGATCCCTGGGGAGTTTGTGGTCGCAGACGGCGGCTGTAGAAACAGGAAGTATGAGAGCATGAATTATTTAATGCTTTCAAACCCTATCTTAACAGTCATCATAGGGAGTGAGTGAGTTGGCTCCTAGACTTTTCTTTGATGATGGGCCTGTTTTTGTTCTTTCTTATGATAGGTAGCGTGCTTGTTCAGTTTCCTACAGTCTGAGTCAGACTTTAGAATAACAGCCTCTGACAAAGCTGCTATGAGACACAGTTGTGCTGTCTGGGTTAACACAGCCTGACTGTCCTAGACAAGATCACCTCTAAGAATTATAAAAAAAAAAAAACCCAGCTGGAGGCACAGTCTGAATAAGTATTACTAAGACAACACAATTGTGACAGAAGCAGAACCTAAGGGATTTTTCGGCAGAGTAACATCATCACTTTCACACAAAGCCTCTGTCTCACTATAGCCATCCAGGCACCAAGCTCCAGCTGCAATGATGAGTCAAACATACAGGACTATGTCCTCTACCTGCCTCTTCTCATGTGGATGCCTATTCTGGTCACACAATTGTGTGAGGGTGGGTGGAAAGGACTAGAATAACAGGGAAACAGCAGTAAAAGTGACGGCAACTCAGTCACGCTGGATTTTAATCATATTAAGTGATTGTTCTTGGAAAGGCAAGGATTAGTTACGACCAAGGACAACTGGGGAAGTAGAGTGCCATTTCCACTTTACTGCGAAAAGAACAAAAAATTAAACTGGCCTATTTTTATACAAAAAGTGCTGACAGTTATGAAAGTCATCTGACAGCTGAAAGAATAAAATATTGTTCCTACTTACTCTTCGAGGTCCTCAGCTGCAGGTCTTCTCGAAGCTCTGTACGTCACCAGAGAAAAATAATTTTCACACAAATTTAATAACACACACATATTAAATTATATTTCTTTCAAAATAACAGTAAGCTCCTGGTAGGCATATCTTTTTCATCTGTGTCAGCCTATAATAACAGTTTAACAGCCTCAGCAACTATTTACAGACTTCTCTCCATTTATTTTCCCTCAGTATGAAACGATGCACGCTGGCATACCAAAAATGCAGCATTATTAATATGCAAAGCATATAATCACACAAATGCAGGAATAAAACAAAACATTGTAAGTCATGTGTATTTTTTAAAGCATACCCAAAAAATGTTTTCCAATATCATTTTTAATCTTCCTTCATAGAGCTAAATACATTTGTTGGTTCTCCTGGTTGAGTAGTGACCCCTAGTGGTTTTAAAGGTGATTCAATCAGCCTTTTACTTCTTTTTTCTTTTAATTCTTTAGCATGTCCAAAAGCACAAGCAGCTATTATGTGCAGATCGATACAAAGCTCATACTTAAATCCATAAATAAATCCTTTTGTATTTTTTATCTAGAACAAGTATTAAGAGGTTCTTATAAAAATAAATTATTCAAAGCTTGTTTTTCAAAGGTAATATCTTATCATCTTTTTTCACCATGAGGATTTCATTTCCTGTTGATCTGCCTGAGGTTAATTATTTTTTTGGTGGGAGGGGGTGTTGGTATTAAAGGATGTTTTTCCTGATTGAAGTTATGGGTCTAAGTTCATAGGATGATGTGGTATGATTTGTTGTTTAATCACAGATCACGAAACCTGCGAATCCAAAGTGCATCTTTAACAACGTAATGAAATTGACTGGACTATAAGTTCTGGTAGTTCAGTCAAACTTTCAAGCACAAGAAAATAAATCCATATCAAGTCCTATATCTTATATTATATTGTTATGAGTAGCGTTATTAATCTTTTTTTCCAATAAGAAAAATTATCTTAAACACTTCATCCTGCCAGTTCTCTGCTCATTTACTGCTTTGTCCATCTTTTGCACACTATCTGCGGCCAAACCAGCCGATCTGAAGCCAGCAGAGTCCAATCAGGAGAGCGAGAGAGGAGCTGAGGGAGCCTACCTGCCTGCCCTTGGATGGTGTCCTGTCTGCGGGGCGGGGGTGGCGACACTTAAGACACATTACAGGCCCCTTGATTAAGACTCATGTAAGGCAAAGCGATAGACATGGTAAAACTGTCTGGAAAAAGTTGTTAGGGATAAAATATATTGTGACAACCTGGTTTCAAAGGTTCATCAATAAACTGACAGATCATTTAGTGTCAATTAGAAGTGATAGATCGACAAATCCTGGGATTTCTGCGCTGGGATTAGTGGGAGGAGGGCGGTGGTGATTGAGCATGAGGGGTGACATTGAAGGGAAAAGTCCTTGCTGGTTCCAGGGGGGACCATTACTTACTTTGTTTCAGAGAGGATCAATGCACGTGCAAACCCCTTTTACACCTCCTGTATTTCAATCACTTTGAGACCGGGAATCAAGCGGGGGTTACGCAAAAGCGGAGAAGCGACACGCTGACCTTCTGCGAGAAAGGAAAGATCTATTGAGTTTGCTGTTCTCCCTGCTTGCACTAACGGTGCAGCAAACTACGCAAATAAATACAATTGACTCAGCCTGTTCACTTCAATGGATCTCCTGTGCTCCCACTTCCACTGACCGAGCAAAAGAAGCACAATGGCAGTTGGAAGAACAAACTGTTCTACAGTGTATTAAAACATCTCATATTGAGTCAGTGAAGGAGAATATTACGATTTAGATGTGTTAGTCTGAGACGAAGCCTTTTGGCAAACACCTTCCATCTGTTCAACATATTTCATGAATTCTCCATGTTGTGATCCTTGTGTAAAGAGCAGACTGCAGTGGTAAGGGGTGATTAAGTGGCTTGAACCCCCATGATGAAGTGGCTAGCTGACTAACAGTGCCCTCCTGTGGCTGATGCATTAACCATGTCAATTACCGCCTTGCTCACAGATGAAGACGAATGGAGAGTTGCCTGCTCAGACAGGCTCCCTCTAACCTTGTTGATTCACAGCCCGAGTGCCAAATATGCACTGATAAATAAGCTCATTCAACAGCATGAGAGTTCATTAATAACACATAAAACAAGACCACGGCTTGGAGTCCCAGCTTAGTTTCATTATAGTCACAAGAGATGGAGGGGGCGAACGTGAAAATACGTACTTGGCAGAACCAGATCCAGAGCTGTCCTCTGCCCAGCCGCCCTGCCGCCGGGCTGGTTTAGGAGGAGGGCCCTGGAAGGAGGAAGAACTTCAATAACAGCTTCACTGAATATCTACTCACCCACACTCACAATAAGTAAATACATATGAAAGCATTCAAACTCCTATGAGGCTTTAGTCTCGGAAAATATAGCACAGAAGCGGCATGTTTTCATTAGATGTTGGGGTAAATTTGATCAGAATCAGTGGCCTCGTGTTAAACACACATTTGATAAATAGGTACTTCCAAAGAAGCATTCATCCAAAAATTGATAAGAAAAAAAAAGAAAAAAGAAACCGTCTTGTTAAGGTGTGCTGATCGAACCACCTGTGGAGTAAACAACATTCCTGATCTGCTGAGCAAAGAATCGTCTACTGCAGCGGTCCCCAACCTTTTTTGCGCCACAGACCGGTTTATGTCCAACAATATTTTCATGGACCGGCCATTAAGGTGTCGTGGATAAATACAACAAAATTAATCCAGTACTGATACCAAAAAAGAAGATTTATTCATAACACACGGGAAAAGACCCAGGGAAACCGAGTTAACAATAAAAACGATTAAAAAATTTTTTTTTTAAAAACGCTAAAAGCCGAAACCATGAATTTCACACCCGAGCCTCAACTCTTGAGGCCCGGTACCAAACGACTCACGGACCGATACCGGTTCATGGCCCAGGGTTGGGGACCGCTGGTCTACTGCATGTGCACTAAATAGTTTTGTTTATTATAGTTTTCAGCAGTAACCATTTGAAGCATTAGAACTTATAGAGCAGAGTGTGGGAATTAAGTCTGACCCTAAAACTGAGCCAGAGGGGAAAAAAATGACCTCCCACTCTGTCTACTTCTTTGATTCTGAAAATAGTAAACGGAGTAAGAATCTTGATCCTGAGACCGGGACCCTGAGGCCAGCGTTTGAATGAATAAATTCCTCAGCGCGCACAAGGGTGGGCACTAGACAAATGAATTAGGGAAAAAGAGGGACAACATTTCTCATTACTAAATTGGGTCTGCAGAGGACAAAGTGTTCGTGAAGAATTTCTTTCATTTATGATGAAAGAGGAAATAATCTTTCATGGCTGGTTCCTTTACTGAAGCCATTTATAAATCTGAATGTCACCATTAAGCAGGGCAGAGGGAGGGGGAGCCCACTCTGCTCCACTGTATATTACCATTAATCGAGAGAGCTGAGGCTGAACGAGCTCCCTCAACTTTGTGCAATTAGTAACTGTCTCTTTAATAGGAACAAAAAAGGGATTACAATTATGGAGGCTTTTTTAGAGCAGCATTTAAACATTTTTTTTCACATGACGTGAAATCTCTTTGATGTTTCATATGTGGCATTTCAACAATGGACAATTTTCATAAGGGATGAGATAATAAGGTCAAGTGCATCCTGTGTGCAATAAATGTATCCTGTGGCAGTTATTTCACTCAACAAAAATGGGGAGGACCAAAATAGTCCTGAGAAACAAAACAAAAACTGCGAGCATCCAATTCCTCATGACCAAATATGAAGCTCACAGCTGTAGTAAAATAGTTATGGCTATTACGGCAATTAGCTTAGCCCTTAAGGTTTCTAATTTGGGATTCTATGACGGTCTCTAGGGCGAGGAACTTGTAGTGACCGAACTCTATGAGCCCATAAAAGCAATGAGTCTTTGTTTAAAAGGATGTCGGGAATGCAACCAATCAGTTGGGTATTTCGGGCAGAAGAGAACGGGTTTGATAAACGAAGACTGCAAAAACGCCACCCAGTCGCACGACACTCTGGAAAAATGTACTGCATGTGCACAGCAGGTCAGAGAGGGCGCGAGAATACCGGTTCATACATTAGGAAAGTTGGCCTAATTTGGGAAGATTAGCCTAAAGCAAGGGCATTGCTGGAATATTTGCTCTGGGAATGCTGGCTGGTTTACAGTTTGCCAATCCAGGAGATGTGACTGATCCTATAAATGCCAACGACAGTGAAGTGATTTGTTGTATTTCAACTGTCACTTATGATCTGACTTCTTATGATTACATGCAACATGATTCAAGGGCAACAAGAAGCAAACTTTACAATGAAAACTGTGCCATGACTTGAAGTGATTTGTGTAAAAAAGGCACTTGTAGAAAGAGAGGATTTATCAGTTGCTGGTGATACTAAATAAGCCAACTGAAGACAACTACAATGTTTTGTGACTCACAAGGTTAAAAGGATTTAGAGTTTATATGAAGTAACACTTCAAACCCTTAATGCAACACATAAGAGCCAACATATACAGGCCAACAAATAAAGAGCAGCTATTCTGAGTGTTTTGGAGCACTTTAAAAACTGCTAAAGTAGAAAAACAGCAACTCAAACATCTCATCACCTGCATTATGCACTCCAATCAAACTTTATACCATGTGTGTCAAGCTGGCTCTTCGAGGTGAGCTGTAATTTGAGTCCTATCAAATCTAATCAGATGAATTGAAGTAAAACACTTCATGATAAAAGAAATGTAAGATAACCGGAAATGATATGAAGTTGATAAGCTGAGCATTAAGACTAGAAGCCATGCAAAGTCATCGCTTAATTCATGCTACCTACCTCATCATCATCCTGTAATTCATGTATGAGACAAGACCAAAATGCATATTTATAACCTTGTAAATGAATGTTATATCACGCAGAGGTTTATTATCACATGATTGCATACCTCTCCTGCTGAAGCAGAGGTGGAGGACTTCCTTATGTGACGAGTCTCTTCAAACGATGACTGGTGTGCCGCAGGGCGAGCTCTTCGTCCAGACTTGGCAACCTGGGAAATGTGTGTAATTTCAACATGTAAAACCACTGTATGTGACAGACATTAGCACAGTTATTTGGGGTTTATAAAATAATTTGTGGTTTTAATTTTCTTTAACTGTCACATTAAATGTTTTCTGAAAATGGGATGGGAATCAAGAACAGGTTCCAGTTAAAAGGAGGTTCCAAACGGTCTAATTCTCTGAAAACTTCTGCATCCAACCTTATCAATTCCTGGCATGTTTTCTTTTTTCCAACAGCTGCACATTGCTAAACAAGGACGTCAAACTCATGGAAGTGGAGCTTTTGCACACCTGAGTCATTTGTTTTCCACTCATGCACACATGTACAGATTTTAAGATTTGAAATGATGTCAAAAATCTGAAATAGCTGTTTGCTTTTTTTTTCCACAATAACTTCAGAATATTTTACGAAGCCATGAAAACTTTTACCTCCATACTATGAAAACGCCCGGTGGGTCAGTTCTGTAGTGTTTTCAACATTCCCCTAACATCCTGGGAAAAGACACAACCCAGCCTCAGACAGTCATAAGATAAGGATAAATTGGAGGGTTGTGTCAGAAAGGACTGTTTTTGTAAACTCTGTGCCATATCCCATATGTGGATCCATTCGCTGTAGTACCTACTGGGAATAACCGAGCAGTACCGAGAAGTACTACACCACTGTGAACATTTTACAGGCCCTAGGAGCAAGAAAGCAGCAGAAGGTCAAAATTTGGTGCTTTTAGATTTGGTTTACTGAGCACTCATCACTTCTTAAGTACAAGAGATGCACAAGAAATTGGCAGGAATAAAAGAAAATAAAGGTACAGTGAGTAATTTTTTGAGGTTACAGAAAAAAGACAATGTAGTACTATAAATATACACTGGATAGTGTGTATCTGTGTCTTCCAACAAATTGATGTGTTTTCATAAACTAAAATAATTAGGTTTTTGGACATTCCCACATTGCCCCGCAATCTTGAATAACGTGGCCGAGATGGACATCGTACTTCCGCCTAATTGCTTTTTATGTATGTTGCAGGAGACTGGCCAAAATGAAAACACCATATAAGACACTTTTAATTTAAAGATCAAAAATAGATCTTTCAAATTATATGTGGCCATTTAACATTTTCACATGTAGATTTTTCATATCTTTCTCATTATGTCCTTCCCTGCCATCAGTGCAGTCTCTTCTCCCTTATTTCCCCTTCTTCCTCCTCACCTCAAGCCTGATCCTCTAACACATGAAAACATGCTAATTTATTCCTAATATTGTCGCAATTACTTACTATGAGAAGATTAGACATGGGACCCTCCCATCTCCAGACAAATGAGTGTAGAAAACTGTTTTCTACTGTCATTGCTCCAGACAGCTGACAACAAGCCGGCTAAACAACAACAACAGCTGGATATAAGCTAACATTATGCCAGCTACCCCCCCCCCCCCTTTTTTTTTTTTTTTACTTCAAGGACCTGTAACTTGGAAAACATTTATAGCATATAGGCAGAATTTTGCATGGCTTCAATATATAAGCTAAATATAATATAAACTAAAGTTATTAAAACAAAACAAAAAAAAAAATTCTGAGGGGTTCAGGTGGGAGGCACCCATTTTCCATGGAGTGACCCGTGAAGCTTACATGTTGGAGGAATAAAAAAAGTAGATTCACAAAGAATATCACCTATATGATTAATAAAAAAAAATTGGATTTACTATCAATAAAAACGTATCAATATTTACATTAGTCCAAAGACACATAGTATAATTCAAATGAAACATTGTCTTTTTGTCAACTAAAAGTGGTTGGTCTTATTTCAGATTTGAAGTCATGTTTTCTGTGTAGTTTATAGAAATGTGAACGTGTGTGAACCACAACCACCAAGAAAAAGAGTTGAGTGTATCCCCGAAACATTATATGGACAGCAGGCATTCTTGCCTTTTATGGAGAAAATCGGTAGCAGTGGGAACACAGTATACATGCTTCCTGTACGTTTTCTGAGGGAGTAATGCCAGACACAGAACCAGGTCAGAGTTTACACGGAGCTACCAAAACACTGAGCTATGCTTGTGGGGGAAATTTCAGCTAGCATCATCTGTGGCTAACCTCGCAGTTAAAGTTAGCTGAATACGCAGACAAACCTTCCCGCTCCCAGTGCTCAAAAACAGTGAATGATGATGATTCTGAGCAGGTAACTGACAGGTTAAACTGGCATATCATTTACTGACTGGCTATTACTGATGCTCGCATTAGCGAAACAGAAAGCTAATTAGCTAACTAGCATCGCTGCACCGTTATACAGTGCCCACAACTCAGCTCAGAAGGAATGCTACTTTCCTCCCATTACCTTGCTATGTGCATTTTAATGATATAACAACCTACTTACATTTCTTGCCGTTCCACCATCTTCTTGTTGGAAATTATCGTCCATTTTTTTCCTCCTACCAGCTAGTTCACCTTCTTCCTGGATACCACCAGGCGTCACACAGCAACGCTCTCCATGGTAACGCAAATCAGGAGGAAAGTGCCTTTGGACAGCCCCAAATATCGTTAGTAAGTAAACAAACAAACAAACAAATAGATACGTGTATTGATATTGATAGGGAATCTGCTATAATCCCCCTACTGCTCGTTTGTATGTGAGAACGTATATAAAGTAATGATAACAATGTTTCCTTGTACTACTGGAGCTCCCCAGACATTACTGTTGAATAAATAAGACGCCTACTCCGAATATCTGCCCCATTTTCCTCTCTGATTTAATGGTGAGTCAACAGATAATTATGGTGTGTCCAAAAAACAAAAAATAATTTAAAAAAATCCTTGGATAATTACGTCCGGAAATACAAACAAACAAGCAAATATATATATATATATATTTAAAACTCATAATATGAATTCATTTTTAAGAGTAAAAATTACATCACTGAAGAAAAACAGGAGGTATTGTTGTCGCTTTTTATTTTTATATTTATTTTGTTTGTTTCTTTGTTTTGTTGTTGTTGTTTTCTAAATGGATAAAGTGATACTCTTGTCCTCAGTGCAAAATATCTAATTTGAGGACACAGGCAAAAAATAAAGATGAAATCGAATTGTACCTTCAATTCCCCGCATGGTCCGCGAGATGTCGCTGTCTCCTTTCATTATGATACTGGGGAGGCGCTGAACGGTAGCAGCCTGCAGAGGACCGCAGCTCCCTTGCGCACCCTCAGAAGTTCTGCATGTTAACTTTGAACTTTACTTCATTGGCACTTTATTTTGCCCACGATTAAAAATATTAAGCACGTAAACCTCCTCAGGTTTAGATTTTTAAACTGCTGTGAGCGCGCGTGGGGCACACAACAGAACGTGACTTAATTTCAGCCACATCCATAAAATGCTGCTATTCAATTGACAAACGAATGCAACCCTTCTCTCTTGCGAAATCCTATTGCCCAATATTACGCTGCGTATGATTCAAACACTGTTTGGCAGCATGAAATTCAAAGTCTTAATTATCTTACTACGGAGTGGGACTGAGCACATTGCCCGCACTCGGTCTATAGCTCGCGGCCCCTCCCTCAGAAACGTCACCGATGGTGGGTATAAAGTATGAGTGAGCGTGGAAAGCGTCTTTAGTGTGTTTGAGGTTGGACTGCAAGAAGACAACAAAGACGCACTGACTCCATATATATATTTGCACAAGTGGATGGAAAGACCCCAAATGCAATGGAGCAACTAAACGGCGTTGCAGAGATCGGGCCAATGTAAACTACAAAGAAAAGGAGAGGGGAAGAGGTGCCTGAATGAGACAAGGGGGAATGAAGAGTGTAATTAAGAGTTTTGTTGAAGAGTCGAGACCTTTTTGCACAATTGCGCGGATTCGCTCCCATGGAAATGCGCATTTGGCAAAAATGACATAGCACTCGAGAAAATGGGATTCCTCCAGGAACAGTACTCACTCGCGACTTGAATGAAAAGATAAAAAGGGATATTTTTTTTCTTCTCCTTCTTCTAATATTACTTGACAAGGCTTCGGCTGTGAGCGAACGCAGATTAAAATATGAATCTGGGCAAAGCACTTCTGTTTTTCCTCCTCTCAAACTGTGTGACAGTGACTTTCTTGCTATCCACTTGCACCACAGTGGACATCAAACACATAAAGAAAAAGAGAGTGGAGGCCGTCCGGGGACAGATTCTCAGTAAACTCCGAATGACCAGTCCGCCTCAAACAACAGGTCCAAGTCAAGTACCGTTTCAGGTTCTGGCACTTTATAACAGCACCAAGGAGCTCATTGAGGAGCTGGGGAAAGACCGGCAGCAGAGTTGCGGACAGGATAACACGGAGACAGAGTACTACGCCAAAGAGATTTACAAGTTCAACATGATCAATGGGCCACAAGAAAACAGTGAGTGTACTGTTTTGGGGTTATGAATGTTCCAATTTTTCCTTTATAAGCCAATAAAGTAGAAAGTCTTCCTGTTCTAGGTGAAGATGCATAATTGTGGTTTATTTTAAACTTTAAAGAAGAGTTGATGATCACACGCAATCCCAAATCATTCCAGTTACTTGCGCAAACGCTTTTTATCTTTGCCACGATGTCCAACCTAATTATTACGCGAGGTTACGAGGGGGGAAAAGTGAAAGACAAATATTTTTTTTCCGGTTGGTGTGAAAGTCCATTCTTCTCTGTGCGGCTTTTTACGCGCAGACGCTCCGTGGCGTCGCGCAGAGGAAAGGGCAAAGTAAACAGTCTAATTGGAATGAGCACAATTCCTCATGCATACCTCACACCAAATCCATGGGAACCCCAGCCTTAGTCTGACACATTCCTAAGCGAGGAAAATTCTCAGGCTGTTAAATCTGCTATTTATTGCCAACTCCAATACCTCATTTCCATTTTTCTGGCCGTGAGATCCCCAATATTTTTTCTTCCACTGTCACTCACTTCTATTTCCCCCCCCCCACTATTTCCTTCAAGTAGCTCCGCGTTATGATCTAATTCCCTCGTTCATCCATATTGGTATTTCCTGTATAAACTATGGCCCATTGATTGTTCCAGAAATCAGAAGCAGAAGCCCGCTGAGCTGCAGATTCTCCAGAGAAAGCCTAAGTGGAGCAATTGGACTGGTGCCCACTTACGGTCAGAGGCCGGTTAGCTCACGGTGTAGTGATTCTGAAATCAACAGGTGTTTGTGCAATGCTGTGACGCTGAGCAGAACCTCTGCCGGTTCCAGCATAAGCCCTGAATCAAATCCATTTCACAGGTCCCACAAAGTGCTTCTGACATTCAAAATACACAGCTCGGGGTTTATCCACTGGTCAGAGGTAGTCAGAGCTCCCAAAACAAACAGAGGTCTAAGGAGTGGGATCAGTGATGGCCAGGTGCCCAGGACACATCACTGGTCTCACACCGTGGGCCATAATGTAGGTGATAATACGAGACATGAACACACTGGCAGCACTTTCTTCCCAAACAGCTTACTGGAGTCACAGATTGTTTAAATTAACAGAAGGTGCCACATGCATTAATTAGCAGTCTTCTCTTCCTTTCCATTATGTAATTTTAAGGAGAGCTGGGCATGTTGCAGTATGCAGAAACATAATGTCTGTCACCTTGGTATTTCTGCTGTGTAGTTCATTTTCATTCCTGCTGAATCTAATGAGTTTTGCATTCGCTGCTTTTTGGAAGGTGGGAGTGTTTAGGGAAAAAAGTCAAGTTTGGCTTTTTTCTGTGCTTAGTTAGGAAGTTAAACAGAAACGTTTCACACACTCTTTAATGCAACGCTTGCACCCAGACTGCTTTGTTAGACAGGACTGCGAATGCAATGCGATGCAATTCAAAGCTTTTATGAGCAGATGAAACAAAACTGAGTGAGAACAGGAATTTGGAGCTTCCTTTCCTTTTCTTTTTCCTGGTGCATCACAAAGCCGGTGGGGCTAGTGCTGCTGAGGAAATTAGATAAAGACATATTTGAACTGAGGGGCGACCTGCAACACAATAACAGTTTAAGAGTCTACTGACTGGCCTTGACTAGCTCATTGGAGCATGCAGCCTCAGTGAAATTTCAAGCCAATCACTGACTCAGTGTTGGGTCAGTAGAAAAAAAAATGAGGACCAGCTCTGAGGACAGCAGAGTGTCTGATATATGGGATAGTAGAAAGATGATGTCATCTGTACAAACAGAGACAGAGGTCTTTGGTCTGCTTCCAAAGAAACAGCATCGCTCCATCGAACTCCCACGCCTTTACCATTTTTGCTTCTTCATCTTCAATCCAGTAGGAGGAGAGGGGGGAGGGGGGGTGGGGGTGTCGTCACGCATTACATTGTTTCCTCCACACTGCCATAGCTGATATCTGCAGTCCGATGTAGGAATGGACTTAATCCTGATGAAAAGCAACATTTGAATTTGGTACATTAAACCCTCAGCTAACTGGGGAGGGGAAATCAAACTTTTCCATTAGAGCATGATGCAAATTCACATCCCAGATGCAGCAATTTCAGGAAAATAATAAGAGAACTCCAGCTAATGCAATTTCTGTTCTGCTTTATGAGATCTAGACACCACAGCAGCTGGCTAGCACCTGCTGACTTGTGCTTTCTGTTTCCTTTGTTTACATCCACAAAGCTGTGGAGAGACTGACATCACAAGTATCCTTTGGGCAAAAGAGCAAAGAGAGGTGATTCCTTAGAGCTTCGTTCCGGGAGCTTCCGTGTCATGGAGAGAATCCCAGACACCGGAGGCTGAACGCGTGTCAGGAGCTGAGGTGTGGTCGATAGCGTCTGGGCGAGGCAGCAGCAACTATTCAAATGTCTGTCTTCGGGCATTTTGGACAACTTTACTCCCTAATCCATCCTTTGAAACCCATATGTTCAAATTAATTGGGTGATAATGCGAGAATGGAGTCAGGCGGGCATCATTTTGTTATCCAGGTTTTTTTTTTAAAAGTGTGACTATAAATATACTTTTGCAGATGTGTTAATGACAGCCTCTCCCAATAAAACTCAAAATAAGCATGCTCTGACCTTAGAGCAGTGTGCTATTTTACAAAGTGTTTAGAAATAACATGAGAAGTCGTTTTAATTACTTATACAGTGTTTAAAATATAGAGTGTTGCTTTGTTTGGCATGGAAAACTATACACCTTGATTTTTTTTACTAGTAGAAATTAAACTCTGGAGAAGCTTATTGACATAACCTGTGCCGTGTCAAACAGTTAATACATTAAGCTTGTGTCAGCATCCTGATACTCAGTCTTAAACTCTATCATCTAAAAATGGACGGGGGAGTCGGGAGTGGTGGTCAAATCAATTTGTGACTGTATCTCATTTTAATTATACAAGCAATCCCCTTCCACTCACCAACATGGAACAAATTACCTTTCAGACCCTTGGCAAAAATAAGCCATAATGTGAAATCCACCTAAAACCATTGCAATGGGAAAAATGAGGTCATCCAAAAGGAAACCAAAGACTTGATTAGAATTTCAAATCTCCCCTCGAAGTGGGGCTTTCCACCTTCTGTGGGGGAGACGGAGCAGTGAGTGAGTGAGGGGAGGAAAAGGGCTACTGAGGTTTCCTCCTTATAGATTGTGTGGAAACGCTGGACAGATATCTGGCTGGGGACAAATGCTGAAAGGTCAAACTATAAATAGGGAAAGCTGAAATAAAATCAAAAAGAAAAAAAAAACTTTGTGGAAATATCAGATAATGACTGGGAGGACACTGAAATAGGATTATGGGTCAAATGAAGTACAGATACTCGGAGATGTGCGAGTTCCTTTTGCATGACACAGAAAACGGCCTCACTTCTGAGTTTCCATTTGTCCCAAATCTGCTCGAGGTGCAAATCAGCTAAAGGTGCAGTGCCCCTTTCAACCATCAGCAAATCCGAGGCTTTGGTAATAAAGCTTAAGCTTGAAGTAATAAATTAGCCATGGCTTGGCTGTAAGTGACTGTTTCCACTTGGCTCATAAAAAGTTTGCTATGCGCTTGTTTTGCTCAACAGTGCATGTGCTGGGCCTGTTAAAATAATAAACTGCTCTATGGTATTATGGTATAAAAAGGAGAAAGGCTTCAATGCAGCAGGAAGTTTTTTCAGATGGGATCGCGGTGTGGCCATTCATTGGGCCGATTGTGCTAAAGGTCAGCGTTCAGTCGCAAACACATACATGCACCATGTTACAGTGTCCAGTGAGTTATTGCTTCTCCCTGGTGTGGTGGAGTCTCTCTCCTTGGTGCCTGCTCAGGTGCTGTTCTCCTCCAGCACGTGAGCCCGCATGTTCCCAGCTAAACCTCTGAGTTCCAGGGAATACTTGGCTTCTGGCTGAGCCCTCGGAGCACCTGTTGGGCTCAAGTGCTGGTGGGAGGAGGAGCACGCTGCTGTCCCACTGTAGCCTGCTCCACTAACGCATGGGACATTTGGTTTTCATTTCATGACTTCAACTTGTTGCTAACTCGGACCGCACAAAGCATAAGCAGATGGTTTGTGGTAATGGCTCCCTTGATAGACTAGAAATTGTTTTTTTTTTCTTTTAAAAAAATAGAACTTTTGTTTTTATCTTTAAACTATTCAAATTTGTAGAAAGGGAATCCTCGGCAAAAGGTTTATCAATTATCGGCTCAATAAACATGTCCACCCCTGTGAGGCTGTCAGTGTGAAAATATGCTTTTCACAGTGAAGTAGGAGCTTAAGGGAATACAGAAAAAAAACAAAAACAATCTTTTATGTCATTCTTTCCATTTTACCTGCAGATGACCTCCCCAACTGCCCCAGGGGCATCACCCCCAAGATATTCCGCTTCAATGTGTCGATCATGGAGAAGAACGCCACCAACTTATTCCGGGCTGAGTTTCGAGCCCTGCGGATCCCCAACCCCGGCGCCAGGAGAAACGAACAGAGGATTGAGCTCTACCAGGTGTGTGAACTGGTCGTTCATTTCCACTATTAGCAGAGCCCAGAGGTGGGGTGGGGTGAAGAGGGGGAGAGCTGAATTTCTCTCAGAAGGCCTGTGTGGGTCAGTGAGAAAGATGAAAACATTTATATTAGGGTGTCCGGCTCCCTCAACCTCTCTTTTCAAGTGCTGATCATTATTCCGTGTGGTTAAAATCAAATGGATTCTACATCAGGACAGATTTAAGAGCTTGTGCAGCCGTCTTTAAGAAACCCTAGATTACCATTCGGCAGTTTCTTCTTTCACAGCTGTCAATCAAAGCAGCTGTCCATCCATGTAGGATTAAGCACGGAGTATATATATATAAATCTCTGTGATCTTAAGCATTTTAGAAGCGTGTTAATGCATACATCTGGTATAGGCCCATGTGGGGTGGCAGGAATAGATTTTTTTCTTTTTCTGTTTCCTCATTAATCTCCCATGAGAGACTAGGAGTAATGATCAGGTTCCAACATTTCCTGCCAGGGAGACAAGCGTCTCCGGACTGCATACCGCCTCTGAGGCAAGGCTCTGGCCAGTGCTGAATACAGACTGTCAGGGCTTCAGATTGTTTCCAGGAGCCTAGGAGGAGATAGAGGCAGGGTCGCCCACTGGGGGGAGTAAATGGAGCCGCTCACTCGCCCCCACATTTTTTAGACTGGAACTGACTGGCAGAGGGTTGACGCTGGCAGCCCTGCCGCCCCTCGTTCCCACAGGAAGACAGATTAGATGCTGACATTGTTCAGAAACCTGGTTATCCATAGCACCGCTGTGGGGCTAAGTGCTCATACCCACCACCCAAACACATTTCTCCCTACAGATAAACACCTTTGTTCAAATACATGCTGGTGCAGATACAAACTGTATTTTCCGCTGTCAGTCTTTGCCCAGTGGGAGCGTCGACATTCTAACAGAGCGGCAGCTTTAAATGCCCTCAGAGATACTTTCTGACACTGTGTGTGAAGGATAAGTCAAAGTTTAAACGGCTGACGCGAAGGACGGCCAGGTTCCCACTGGCAAGAGGGTAAGACACAGGCATTAACTTGCAAAATGGGGATATCAACACACGGAGTCACTTTTTCCATGAAGAGTAGACATTTGGCCCAAAGGCATCCTGGAGAGTCTGGCTCAGACAGACAGTCTCGATTCTGTGCGCGCATGTGTGTGTAAAAATAAAAAGAGTTTATGCAGCTGGGTCACATTTTCATCTTTCCTCGCAGATCCTCCAGAAAGATGACCCCAAAGCCAAACAGCGCTACATTGGGGGCAAGAACGTCCTGACCAAGGGAACGCCTGAGTGGGTCTCCTTTGATGTTACGGAGACGGTGAGAGAGTGGCTGATGAATCGACGTGAGTGGGACACCACATTTTCCTCGCATCACACCTTATTCCATGTCCTGCCAAATAATAACCGGCTCGTGTGAAACAAAGGAGAACAGCCTCAGGGCTGAAAATGTCTGCTCCTTATTTCTCTCTGCTCTTGTTTCTCTCCCCCCACCCTCAGGGACCAATCTCGGCCTGGAGATCAGTGTGCATTGCCCCTGCCACACCTTCAGGCCTAATGGCGATATAATTGAGAATGCCCATGAGGTACTAGAGGTCAAGTTCAAAGGTGAGATTGCATTTGATACCCAACTTGTGATGGATTTCACAGAGTTATGAACGTTGTGCTTTTAACAAGGCTTTAAACTGTGATCAGGTAAATAAATCAAGAAGAGTGTTTTCAGGCAAAATTAGGAAAACAAGTGAAGAACTAAATGAGGAGAACGAGGCTTCTCTCTTCTCTCCACAATGAATATGAAGCAGTGTAACTTAACGTCGCAAGCACTATGACTGGAAGCTAGAAAAATACACAATCGTTCTCCTCAGCTGTCTAACTGAAAACCTTCCACTGCAACACTTTCACTGTTGTTGCTTTCATTCACTGTGAAATCAGAAATCTAACAAATAGCTCCAGGAATTCAGTCTCAGACTCGGCCTCTTTCTATAGGTTTCCGAGACTCGTGTGTTGTCCCAACTCCCTGGCCCAGACTGTGGTCTCTGAGTCTGTGTTTGGTCAGGATTTTTCTCTGCTTTTGATCTTTCAGTCTCTTGAGATGTTGTATTAATGATTACGAGCCAGATAGCGCTTCAGTTTGTTTGGCTTTTGTTTGATTTGTCGAGCGTTGAAGATAGGCATCCATTTTTCTGTTGAAAAATTCTGTTTATTCTCATTAGCGCTGCAGAGGCACAGGTGGTTTTTCGGATGATTTGCATTAGAGGGTCTCAGGACTAGCCGATTCAGTAGTGGTGCTTTTTTATGTCTTTTTGCTCATTAGTTATCAGCGGATCTTGACACACACTTGTCTCTATTAATGTTGAATAACAGCTATAAATCTTTTGCTCTGTTTGCTGATGCTGTGTCGAGCTGGCAGAGAGAAATATCTGGATTTTTGGCCTACATTTCAAAAACAAATCCTTTGTTTTAGTGCATTTACTGCCTCGATTAAAGTTGCCTGAAGCACTGATGAGGAGTCCTCGTGTGCTCTACAAAAATGTTTCTCATGGTGAATTAGGATGCATTTGTCATAAAATATCACTCACAATACTTTTTTTATTATGCAACCGGTCTATAAAAGTACTTTTCAGTCCAGTCATCAACATGTTCCTCTAGCAGCAAAACTCACTGAGGTCTTTTTGTTAAGATAATGGGTTTCCTTTCTAAGAGGAAGAGAGAGAGGCACAGAGCATGGGAATACAATCGATCTGGTATCTCACTTAGCGCTGGGGCCCCCAGGCCCTCGGTCCTGGGAACGCTCTTGACTGGCTTGGCCACAAGGAATGTGCTGCCACGGCGCTCAGACGTTTGGCCCCAAATTAAAGAGGGCCGTACATATCCACCAGCAGCATCTCTCCTGAGATATCCACTGCTTTAGCTATCAGGGATAGAGTGGATGAGCAGACACTGGCCCAGGGGGAGAATAGAGGGGAAGAAAGGAAGTTAGAGGGACCAGTGTGAAATCCAGGAAGGGAAGAAAAGTGAGACAGAAGTGAATGAAGTTGGGCCTGGAGAGTATTCATATGTAAGAGTTACAACTGATTATGCTGATTAAAACTAAATCTTACTTTCACTAACATCAGCTGTTGAAGAGTCTTTAAAAGAATGTAAATCTCTTTGTGTATTTTTTCCACCTTGATATCTTTTAAAAAAAACCTCTTCCTGCAGGGATGGAAGCAGAGTATGACGAGCAGAGCCGTGTGAAAAGCCAAAAGGAGCAGCTGTACCCCCACCTCATCCTCATGATGCTCCCTCCCCACAGGCTGGATGCCCAGTCTTCCTCCCGAAGGCGCAAGCGGGCACTTGACACCAATTACTGCTTCAAGTAAGCCTCATTCGCTCCCCCTGGAAAATGTAATGCACTACTTAGACTATTGCTCATCATCTTAAAATAAATTCTCCCAAAACCGTTTCTCTCTGGCTGCACCTGCGCTGACAATTTAAGACATTTGCCTACTGGGCTAATATTCCAGGGACACTTGAATAAAGCACCCGCATCCAATTAAAATATCAGCTGTCACGTTTCAAAAAACATGACAGGGAAGACGTGTAAATAAGCGCAGAACACACAAAGAATACATGCAATAAACTTGTTAATCACCCATGGCGGAGGTACTAGATTATACAAGTCAGGATCTGCCTCGGTACTAGCAAACACTACCGCCTCTTACACACCGTCTCCTCAACTCTGGATTTCCTATGACAGGCAGTACCAAAGACACCTGGGCTGACTCCAAGAGGGAAAAAAAGGGCACACCTAAGACTGGAATTTCTGAACTTGAGTCTCATCTCTGACTGAGGCCACGGGGCAGAAAATATATACTTAAATTTGCGTGTTATCCTCCAAATCAAGAGGGTAATCATTGTCTCCCCCTTTCATTTCTGCAGCAATTACGAGGAGAACTGCTGTGTGCGACAACTATATATTAATTTCCGTGAGGATCTGGGCTGGAGGTGGATACACCAGCCCGAAGGGTACTATGCCAACTTCTGCTCTGGTCCCTGTCCTTACCTACGCAGTGCAGACACCACCCACAGCTCGGTGAGAAAAAAGTGCCACTTCTCGAATCCGTTTTGGTGTTTGGAAATGTGCTTGCCAACCCTCATCTCTTTTGTCATCTTCCTTTCACAGCTGCTGAGCCTGTACAACACCTTGAACCCCGAAGCGTCCGCCTCTCCCTGCTGTGTTCCTCAGGACTTGGAGCCCCTAACCATCCTCTACTACGTGGGTCGCTCCCCGAAAGTCGAGCAGCTTTCAAACATGGTCGTCAAGTCCTGCAAGTGCAGCTAAACTTCAAGGTCTTCGAGGGAGGGAAGGGGGGTGGGGGGTGGGGGTCCCTGTGAGAAGCAAGGCATGGGATTTGATCACTCCCAGCACTGCTCCGAAGCGGGTATGAGGAATTAAAGCGGGCAATGTACAGTTTGGCCTCCATGAGTACCTCTTTCCCATGCTTTAGCCTTGCCCAAGCTCTTAAAAAACAAACGAAGAAAGAGATGGAGTCCACTACAGCTATAGACTTAGAAGACCTGTCATACACCACTTCACCAACAGCGCTCTCAAACCCATCAGACCTCTTGGTAATTAATTACTTTCTGACATCAGTGTTTCTCATATTTTTTTGTTTTTCCAGCATTTTGTACCTCATGTCCACGACTATTGGTATTCAAAGGCCATTTTCAGTGAAAGAGGAACAGGACAATAACTGACCGATCCATTCTCAAGGATGCATTAAAAAGAGAGAGAGAGGGAGAGAGAGAGAGAAGGACTCAGAATGCAGACTAAACTCAGCATACGCCAAAAGAGAGCAAATGCATCACACGGGACACATTCAAAAAGTCCGAGCTGGAAACTGACGCTGTGCGCGCCGCGGCCCCCTACACTGTTTGTTTAGGATTAAATGCTGTCGATTAAAAATGATCTTAGGAAAAAGAAAAAAAAAATAAATGAAAAGACAACATGCTGGAAACCGATCGTTATTTCAAAGTAGTATTTCCATGGTTATGTTTACCTCTATAATGCAACAGGACTGGTGATTCCAGGGATTGTTTTGTTTTTAAATGAAGCCTTTTCTGTTGTATGAGATGATGTAATGTCACTAAGTGAACTTTAATAGATCACAAACTGTAAATGTTTTTCTTATTACTCTTGGAAACACTTTTTTTTTTTTAATTAAAAATGTTGGACAGTTCATTTTTTTTTCTCCTTTACTGTTGTGGTATTTATGTTTTAGTTTACACATGTGGGCTGAATTTCAAGTGTTCGAACAAAATGAACAAATGCGGTTAGAGTCACAATCATCGTGTTTTTTAATGCTTTCCAAGTATTCATTTCAATTTTGTTTGCTACAAACAGCCTCACTGGTCCCAAAAATACTACATTTCCATGCATATTGTAAACAGTCAAAAGAGATTATAACATGGTACAGCCCATATGGAAAATAAACAAAGAAAAAACACCTGTAGTAAATGTTTATGTTTTCTAAGCATGTCTCAAAAACTCACATCCCGTACAGTGATTTACTCATCCTAGTGGCCTCTTTGTATTTTTCTTAATATGGGAATTGAATAGGAGAGACATTAGCTATAAAGGGAAAATCCAAGAGGGGACACCTGTATGAGCAAATTACTGTTAAATGTATTAATAAAACATAAATATTTACTGTTAGAGGAAAGGAGTTGTTTTTCGTCTCAATTTTCTTTTCTTTACATTGTAAACAACGCTGTGTCACCACATTACATTACACACACTGATTTGGATCTTGCTTTTGGGAGTTCTGGCTTTAATAGGTAGGACTTCACAACATGACATTTAACGTCAAAGAGCACGTGTTACAAAAACATTCACCGCCAAGTTACATATTAAAACAGTTGACCTGTTGTACTGCATTGAAAACTACAATCTGTGCACACTCACCCAGGCGATAGTCATCAGCTGATGTGAGAAAATCATGCACAAAATTCAAGTATTTCAGACAAAGGTATTATAAACACATGGTAAAACTGCTGACCACTACCTCACATCTTCTTTTTCTTTTTTTTAAATAAACACACCCCTGAGTGAACTCACTATATGGTCCCAAGCCACAGAATATCTGTGAGGATACTGGTCTCCTGGTGCAGCATCGACCTTCATTATAGATCTTTTCCTTTTTATCTTATGCTTTGAGCTACAGAAATGGGCCAAAAAGGTTACGCTGGACAATGTACAGTAAATAAATACTGATGTAATGACAATAATTTATTTATTTTTTTAATCAAAAATAATGAATTTGGTCCATCCAGAAAAACAATATCAGCATCTCAATAGTTTACAGGAATAATCACAAGCCCACTGCATTCTTTACATAAAACCTGAACATCCCTGTTGTGTCATCTTTGTAGATACAAACAAGGGAACAACATTAATACAATCACATTTTATTATCAAGCCCACAAGAAAAAGGGTGCTATGCTTAACATGTCCTCAGGGCGAAAAGGCAGAGGAGTCAGATTTGGCAACTGTGTGGCTTCCAGCGAGGAGTGGGAGTCAGGAGTGTCTACTGCTGGAAAGCCACACATGATAAGAACTTCTCTGCACACTTATCATTCATGACTGTAAAATGAGAAGTTGCTCATGCGGGCTCAACAATGCTTGTCAAAAACTTAACAGAGGTCTCTCATTACCAAAACCCGCATATCACCTGTGTTTAAAAAAAGAAAAGAAGAAAAATGTGCACGCATGGTTGTGGTGGACATGCTACTGCCTGAGTACAGAATAAAACAACGAATCCTGTAGTTAAAATACCAACAGGGCTTGAAGAACCATCTGCTGAAGGCTATCTGTCAGTGAAATCTTCCTGTGGCATCAATAGCATGGAGAGAATGAGGGCGGGCACTGTGGGATATGGACTGATTGTAGCCAAGGGCGATGAGGGGAGGGGGTGGAGCCGCGCAACAAAATCCCGACCTGCGTCAAAGCCGGGCATTTTTGGCCTGGCAGACTATCCTCTTGCATGTCTGTGGCTGTATCATTGAGAAATTAATAGGACCCTGTTCGATGTGTGGCATACTTTTATCTGTTGTCCCGTCCCAGAATAAACCTCTGTGAGATGCAGTTACATGCAGAGACACCTGTCAGGCCTGCAGAGTGGCAGGACGTGCCTCTGGTCGCCTTCGTGTCATCTGTGAGTGGGCTCCTGATCCTGGAACAGCTTGCGGTATGCAGAAAGTCCTTTATTTTTTTTAAAGAAAAAAAAGAAGAAGAAGAAATAACAAGAGTGAGAAAGGCAGTCAAAGGTCTACCCCTCATGTGTACAGAAACAGAAGCCCAAAAGAGTTTTTCTTCAGAAGAGTTTGCTAAACCGTTGTGGAGTCCACCTCTTCAATTATTCATGGTCAAGGTGGATACCAGCTGATCTCATCAGTCAGCTCAGTTGTTCGTGTTCAACCCCTTCACCCCCCAATCCTATCGGCTGGCGTGCAGCCAGGTATCCGGTAGAAAAAGACATTCCAAGTACAGTTAGAGCTGCTGTGTTTGTGCTCCCAAACAGTATTCCCTTTCATTCCCTCTCTGCACACTGTTTGTTTTGGTGCTTTTTTACACTGCGAGGACTGACTGACTGAGCTGGAAAACGAAAAACATCTCCCTCGCTTCCAACCCGATGACAGGGCTGCTGGAAGTGGCTTCCTCTAGCTCAGCAAAAGAAAGATAAAGGGACAATATTCTCTGCTTTATAGCCCACTCTGAATGAAACTGAAACGAGAAGGAAAAATCAAGGGATGTCGTCAAGCAAGCTAAACTTAAAAGGTCGAAACGGTAACTAACAACAACTTCAGTCAAACGCTGTACAGTGATGTGAAAAAGTGTTTTCCCCCTTCCTGATTTTCTAGTGTTTTGCATATTTGTCACACTTGCATGTTTCAAATCATCAAACAAATTTTAATATTAGACAAAGATAACCTGGGTAAATAGGAAATGCAGTTTTTAAATGATTGATTATGATCATTGATTAAAGGAGAAAGGTTATCCAAACCTACTTTTTCACACAGGACCAGGTAATTGCCCCTCTTGTTAAATCATAAATTACCTGTGATTAATCACATTTTTTGGAAAGCTGTCCTCAGTTTCACTAAAAACAAAAACAATTACTGGAAGACCTGATGAATCAAGAAATTACTCAAATAGAAGCTGTCTGACAAAGTGAACCTGGCTAAAAGATCTCAAAAAGCAGTACATCATGTCACAATCTGAAGAAAGACCTGAGAAACAAAGTCACTGACATCTATCAGTCTGGAAAGGGTCTCAAAGAATGGCCTTGGGACCCGTGTTGGTCAAGTTACCAGAAAATAGTTATTAATTACTAATTACTGATTACTTCTCCAAGAAAGCAATCCAGTTACTTTACATTAAAGTTACTGATTACTTATTTTCAAAAGTAATTCAAAAGCAATAGACCTTAAAGCCCAATTCTATTTTTCTGCATATTTCATGATATAAAATTGAATCAAATGAACAAGTCTCCTTTAAATTTTTTTTATTAGTTTTAATCTGTTAACTTTATGCACATTGCATCAAGCAACTAACCCCTAACCTCTTTCCCTGTGAATTTCACACTCTCGTGGCAGCGTGCTAGGTACTTGCTCAGATTTTAAGTTCAATTTTTCGCTGTAGAAAGAAGTTTTCTTCCCATGTAGATTGTACTGTGGACGCTAATGTTTTTATCACTTTTTACGCAATCAAACTTAAAGTAATGTCAGTACTTCCAAGCTTTAAACACTGCATGGTCGTGCTCTCTCCCGGACTCCATATTATCCATTGTTGATCTACACACATCTGTTGCTGCACACACTTGTACGTCATTGTCATGAGACACTCTCACAAACTAAATCACAGTTTAGTAACGCAGTACAGCAGCAGGCTTACGGAAAAGTAACAGTAATCTAATTACATTTTTTGCAATATTAATCCCTTACTTTACTTGTTACTTGAAAAAAGTAATCGGATTACAGTAACACGTTACTGCCCAGCTCTGTTTGAGACTCAAGTGTGAGAGCCGTTATAGAAGTAGGAGAAAACTTGAAACAATGGTGAAGCCAAAATTACTCCAAGAGCATTTCAACGACTCATCCAGGAGGTTACAGAAGAACCCAAAACAACATTAAAGAACCACAGGCTTCACATCTCTCAGTGAAGGTCAGAGTTCATGATTCAACAGTAAGAAAGACTGACAACACAAAAGCTTGTCTCACATATGCCAAAAACATCCAAATGCTCCCCAAGATTTGGGGGAAAATATTCTGTGGACTGATGAGACAAAAGGTGAACTTTTTTGAAG